CAAGCTAAATTTTTCTATAACGGCCCTCCGAAATGTTTTCTAATCAGCGGACCCCCTCTTATAAATCATGTATTTACACTCTCATAGAGTCAAGGCTTGTAAATATGGGAAAGAAAATATTCAGGGGATCTATGGAGTCCTATATTCCGGCTAATGGTTAATAAATATGCTACAGAAGACTCTAAGGATATATGTAAAGTTGAAGTGGACTGGTATTGATAATATTAATACCGGGCTTTGCTGAGGTAGCTATAGCTATATAATAAGGTTAGGATCAATTCAAATGATTAGTTAGACTATAGCTGATTTAACAATAAAAGAAGTATGGAATGTACAAGTAGCATAATATACGCGATGTAAAACAAAGGGAAGACGATGAAATATATTTACGCCACTAAGATCTATCTTCATAAACACGTATTAAAAGAATTCCAGTTATATTATATAGTACCCTAGTATAAAGCTACCCCAATAGATAGTAGGATACCTGTTAAGGCTAGTAAGAGAAGACCTAATAGATATAATTGGTTAAGTATGATACTAAAGCTAAAGGTTAGAGGAATAAGTCTACGGTTAATATAAATATATATTACGATTCGGTTTTTCCAGCAATTCTCAGGATTACTACACAATAGTATAAAGATATAGGGGCACGCCGACTAGGCCATTCCTAGAGAGGAATATTAGTTATATAACCAGTCTCTATTATTAACATATCCTTCTAATAGGCCATAAAATCACTTGGCAAGTATAAAATAAATTGAGCTCAAAGTAGGCGTCTATATCTTTCATTCAAATCAGGTAGAATAGGGGAGTCTGATTTAAATGCCTTTAAATATAGTGCGATAAGAATTTCAGTGTATCTCTACCGATAAGCGGTTGACAAAGTCTGACAGTCAAGGTTTAAGGGATATATCAGTTGATGAAAAATTTCAAGCTTCGAAAGGGTATAGTAAACACTATTCCAGGGCTAGCATACATCCACCGTATTTTGCAAAGCTTTACCAGGGGAATTATAGGCAGTCCAGAACCAGACATCAATCGTACGTATCCTAATCGGAGATCCGGGTCACTTACCTGAATATGAGGTCTCTCTGTCCGACAACAAATCCGTCCAATCTACTGAAACACGTGGAAATTTCAACCCTGATGTTGGCGCGATGTACTTGAAATAATTTTTGCATTCCGGTTGCCAAGGTCAATGTAAGCATAAGGCCCGCCAAAATGTCGAATGAAGTCATTTATTACCTATCCTCCGGATTAAAGGTCGTGATGCGGGAAAATCAATAGTAGGAAGAAAATCTGATTTTCTGATTTCGTAATAAGGCAAGTTATAACGGGTTCAGCGTGATTGCAAGATGGGCTCAAGTTATAGTAACAAGCCATAGATAGGTCCACAAATCATGTTTTGTCTTTCCACAATGCCCAATCTCACTTGTTGTTCAAGCGGCAGCGGCATGAGGAGCTCTGTGGTCTTACTAAAGTCGAAAATTGAGCCGGCGAGGTAGCTGTTGGATGCTGTATAGGAGATCCCTTTGCGAGGACTGTAGATCTACCAAATGCCGGGTCGCCAATGCATGCTGGCTCATTTATACCGACGAGAAAGGATGCTTCACCGCGGTATTTAATAGAATCCCCAGGTTGAGGGAATCGGATATCTATATTCTCTCTGGTCTGGTAGCCATTTATGTTTGCAATAAACATGTTAGGAAGATCAGAGAAAAGGTTACTCTGATGAATAAGGTCATCATTCAAAGCACTACCCACAAGGGTAACAGAAGCACAGTTCATATATATTTTATGATTACCAATATGGTTAAACCAGGTCCAGGCCAAGCTATATTTTCCAGGCTAGAGTCCCAATGGTACAGTGAAATTAAGTAGTGGTAAAATCTTAGAAAGAGCATCACCGGGGAGGTTTCCTGCTACATTCGCAGGATAGCCTCCTTCACAAGAATGAATGACCTTCCACTTCGAATCCTTTGTAGGCTTACGGTCAGAGGTGAGGCTTACCTGGCATGAGCCTCCACTGTACGCTATACTTCCTTGGAATTGAATCGAGTAGTTTTCGCTAATGCGGTATACAGTCTCTTCCAGCGGAATCCCAAAATCGCTCGACTACAGCTTGTAGGGAAAATCACTGCCATCTACGGCAAGTGGAGAATTATTGATTTTGTCCTTGCTATAAGGCTTAGGTGAAATCATAATCATATATATATTGGCAAACCAGGGTATAATTCCGTTCAACAGATGGAATAATAGGAGAAATTTCATTTTGCCTGTGTTAGGTAGGTGTTTTGCGTTAGCGAATATTCAAGTTGAAAATGGCATCGAGCCCCAATTTCGAATATCAGAGCTTGATGAGATTAAGCGGGATAAGGAACATTTATAGCTAAAGGATCATAGCCAGTTTCTAGGTTAATACCATACTTAAAGCACGTAAGTTAATAAGACAACGATTCCTAAAGGCACTAACAAATACTCTATAAGAACTCTTTAATTTCACTTAGGACAAGGGGACAGATTCTCAGAGGAGCCTATAGAATACGTCGGATTAGGCTGAAAAGAGTGGTGAAAAAGAATGTAGCAAGTATACAATAACCTACATTAGAGGAATTAATCTAAGAAAAGATGGTTCAATCAAATTTGATTCCCTATCACCTCGATTACATTCGATAAATATGAATGAGCGAGGTCAATCAAGTGCGGCCTATCAACAAACCACCTGTCTTTAAGAACTCTACTCATATTCAGTACGCATATTCCTGATCCAAAAATTTGCCTGGGCGACGCAATTCTATCTTCATTGTTGTTTATATAGTAACTGTTCTTTTCCTCCACAAAAAGTGAGATATGTGGCTGTGCAAGAGTTTATAGCTTTCTATATACAGGAAAGCAGATGTACGGGGGCCAGATACGCTGGAGAGAGCGATGCTGATTGAAAATGAAAAGTTGATCTGGTAGGGACACGCTTTCATATGGCACTAAGCGAGCGACATCATCATCTCGGTATTTGTAAACTCATTTAATGGTTGAGAGCTTTTGTAATGAAGTGGCTAGATTTGGGTAGCACCAATATGGCTAGGCGAAGCAAGTACGGGATGTATACAAATCAAGGGAGATTTGGGTAGGATTAGGTAGGAAGGTCTTCAATCTATACTAAGACTAACACTTGAGGAGTGTAAGTCTTGCGGTGATTGTCTCGAAACTAATAGGATCTCGGCTATGTTTCGACACCTGATCTGGAGACCTTCTCTGTAAGGCTGACATAGTTGAGTTCCTTGACAGCTTTGTAATTTTAGACCTGGCTGCTGGGTTGACTTCAAACGAATACTTTGATTTTTTGTGATGTAAGACTGGTGTGGATCAGTATGTAAAGGAGCCGTATCATTGGAATTTATACAAACGACATCTATGTGCATCGAGTTGATATCCAATCGATTTGATCTCCGCCCTTCCTGAATAGCCTCACGTATTCTGTCAGAATTAAGTTCTTCTCAGATATCTATATTTTTTTGTAGGATCAACTTGGTCGGGGAGCAACCTGATATTCTCGATATACAAAATTCTCATTAGTTTATCAGTTTAGTAGTAGGGATAATAGTAATCAATATCAAACCTGTCCACCGCCCTTTTTTCCCTTATCACCGCCTTCGCTACCGACTAAAGCTGCTCAAGTCTTACCTGTACCGCTTGGTTGACCGCCTATTCATATCTCTCACTGCCAGGTGCTTAACCGCTGCGAGCACCGCCTGCTGTGTTCAATATTCACCGCTTTGAGCTGAGCACCGTCTACTAGAAATAATCTTAAAGTCTATACCGCTCTAGTTACCGCCTTTCCATTTATATGTTCGTCCTCACCGACACATGTACCGCTTACTAACTCTGACATTCTTCTCACAATCGAAGGGACCGCCTTCCAAATTAAGTGAAGTCAGTTCTCCCGCATACCCAAATCCTTTTCACGCTCCTAGTAGTCAAAGCGTCTTAAGTTACAAAGTTACGAAGAAGAATGGCTCCCTATGTATATGTGGATTCTACATATCGGCGCTTGACATTTGATTGTGAAATGCCCTAAGAAATCTACAATTTGACTACTTGATATTTCACGGTCTCATTGTAGTGTTCCCGTTATAGTTCGAAGGAAGATTGATTATTATTTTACAAGAAAATAAACGTATGTATATGTCAAGGACATTAAGTTGATTTTCAATCAACTTAATACTTTGTAAAGATATCTAAGGCACTTATACCGACGCCCTAGCTCTGTCCCTGATCTACACCAGCCTTAAATCACAACAGTTCCTCTTTTTCTAATCTTTTTGTTCAGCTCTATTGCCATGTATAGTATTAGCATTATTTGTCAGTCTGAAAAGTTGTTGATTCTATGATTTACATACAGAGATACAGTACTTGTCAAACCGATTTCAAGAACCATTGTAGCAGCTTACCTTAATTGTGAAGTTGAATCTGTATCTCTCTGGTCCAGAGCCTTAGGAGGAGCCAGAAGAGTTAGTGTGCTATTGGTCACTACCTAAGACTATATATTACCCATGGCATCTGGATCTCGAAATTTCGGAAGACCTTAGGACTCATCACTTCTATTGTCCCCTCTTCACTATCAATAAGTACCAATGAGTAGAACGCGTTTTACCAGGTCTGAGATACAGTACGGAAAAAGTGATATAAAGATTTACACTCGGGAAGTGAGTACCCCGAAATGTAGCAAATATGGGGACTCGACATGTTAAGAAGCTGGTCCTTAATATGCAATATCAAATGAATACGAAGTGAAGCTTGAGTCTGCAGAAATGTATAGAGTATCTAAATTAGACCAAGGGCTAATAAAGGGTAACAAGGAATACTTCCACGCATCTCCCAGCATGGTTTAATAATCCTACTTTGCTCTCCAACTTCCTTATCCTTTGAATACGACTCGATATAAAAGTCAATAAAGTAACGGGCGAGCGATCTTAGAGAACCACTTAGTAAATACTTGGCTAATATAACGCGGATCTGACTTTTTGGCATTCTTGTCCTAGTTTTTCTTGAGCTTTGCCTCGCACGACTGTTCCGTGGCAAAGTTCTGTATGATTTAAGAGATCAGCTCTCTGTTCAAGCAACTCCATTCTGCAAATATTACACTCTAAGCCTTTGGCCGGCCAAGGAGGATTGATATGCTTTCGTAAAAAATGTCTAGTGAGAGAACCGGGCGTTGCATGCTTCGCAATTCGTTCCATGAGGGGAAGATTCGGATTCCCCAAGTAAAGAAAGCAGATTGTGGGCCGCTCTTTGAGATCCTTGACTCGTACTGATTCCATTGCTTGGCGTAAGGTGATCTTAGTGATATCTTCCAAAACGCACCGTTGTTGTTTGATCGGGGTATCGGAACTGTTGTCGTCACCATCGCCAGACAGAGGCCGACGGTAGGATTGGCGGGTCCGAGGTGTTGGCCGGCCCTCCTCCACGGAACAGAACACAGTTATCGCATTAATCGTGTTGATCCTGCGCTAGTACTCTTCTTCGAGAGTGGCGCCTGGTATTGTGAGTATTGTATTAATTAACGCCAGATGCTGCGAAGTTATGGAGGTCTTATGCTCCAGAGTGTCAATCACCTTGGTATTTACCAGCTTCCCTGTGAGTTGTCGCTTAAGGTTGATCACGGGTTGCTCATTCCTGTACTGCTCTAGATTCTCCCGGATCTGCTGGTTTCGTTGTTGTTGCTTCTTGTTACGTAAATCACGGATGGAAATATCGTAGCGCTCCTTTGATTCTATAGTCTGCTCTGTGATAAGTTGCAGCTTTTGCTTGTAACTATTAGAGAGTTTAATGGCGACCGTATTAGCATTTTATAACTTGTTTTTACAATTTTCCTACTTTCTCTTGCGTTTATTAACCTTCTCTTGTCGCGCGAGTATGACTGGAAGCTTATCAAGGGACAAAGATTCTTTAGGGGAGAGCTTAAATGGTCGATCTAGATCGATAGATACACTAAATAAACAAGCAAACCGCACCAAGTGCGTTTGAGACCCTGTTTTGCGGATGATTCCCTGAACATCAACGTTAACGTCTACTTGATAATAACGGACAAAGGTATTAATATTTGAATGCTGAAGAATCATATTCTAGAGAGCGTCCGACACTTCTTCTATCTACTAAGTTAGCTACCTGGTTAGTTAGGGTGTCATAATCAAGGAAGTCTTACCACTATTGTTAAATTACTTGGCTCCAGCATATCGGAGATTATATAGGTGGGAGACCTGATCATAGCCTGTAATTTTACCCCCTCGACACATCCGGGATCTTATCATGCAACTTATTATACTCTCCTCCAAGACAAGTCGATACCCAGTAGGTTCACGTTGTACCTGGCAGAACACAAACTTATCCAGTAACTCATCTTTCAAAAGCAGTGGCTACTGTCCTAGACCATCAAGAACCCTAAGGCTATATAGTTTCTCTGGAGAATCCAACACTGGCCCGGTGTTCGAAAATCGCTTGAATCCATCAACATGGAAGAGCATACTAAGCAAGGTCACATGCGGACTCAGAGCCAAGCTTGGATCAAAGATAATTTCAGGAATTTTGAACTCGTTCCTGGGGACTTTTGTCAACCACCAACCTCCAAGGTCACAGAAGTCCATTAGACCTATGGAGCTTTCTTCCCAAGGAATCTCTTCGTAAAGTCTAGTTTAAGGAAGATGAACAGATGAGGCTGTCCGCCTTCCGGGTCTCGAATCAGTGTTAGCCCTATGTCCCGATAGCGAAGATACAGAAGCGCCCCTGGACAATTTACAGTGATGGCTGCAAGCTGGCAAAAGAAAAGTATTTAAATACGCTGCCAGCCGTACCCATACGTCATTTCAGTGGTTGTCAAGAGAACACGTGCGAACTCTGCAACGTCTTCAATATACATATTCTTCTTCGGCTACCAGGTGAGTTTAAGCTTTTTCTCCTCGGCCACAAGGGCAATAACCTATAGGGGGTTAGCCTCTGCTTCTTTGAATGAGTGCTAGAGGACTTAATCGCTCACATCCTCTACTTTCCGAATTATTTCTTTGTTTAGCTCTGATTCTGTTTCCTGTTTAAGTACAAGATACCACCACTTCCAGAATATTTGCAATAAGCTCTTGACTCAAAAGCCCGGGCAGTATCGACCGTCCTTACCATAGCGGATGTCATACCTCCAGCCAAAAAATCCATAGAGGAACTGGACCGTCTTGTCAGAGTCCAAGATCGATTTCTAGTGTAGCACTGGGTCAGCACCAATATGCCGGTAGTACCTACCAGGGACCGACTAGTCAGCTTTTAGCGTATTACGAGGATAAAGAGATTTTGCCTACCTATCCTAATATACACAGATATTATCTAAATATCCCTAAGTACTATCAGTATACCACTTTTGTCGAAGTCATAAGACATCCAAGCTTTCTGCTTAAGCCAAGTAGTATTCCGGAGACAGTTGGCCCTCATCGCTGAAAAGAGTGCCGTCGAGCTCATCATCATTGTTGTCTAAATTCTCGCTATCAAGTTCCAGGTCAGTGTTAGAGTCGCTATCAGATTCAATATCCGAAAAGACCTCGCTCACGTCGGAGCTGGAATTGTCGTCCAGACTCCGCTCGTTGTCATATTCAACCGGTCGGGAGCAATCTAACATCATTAAGGCAGCCAAATGATGATTAGAGGGGAAGTGAATAAAGAAAGGGGAAGAAGACAGATAACAGTACTTAAAAGCGATAGACAGAGTGCGAAAGGGATAGAAAAACTATATCGAGGAGGGATGGGAGCAAGAAGGAAGGACTAAGTTGACATGTGTTCTGGGACTGGAGAGAACATGGTGTTTAAAAAAGGGGGGAAGGGAGCCATTTTTGGCTCTTCTTCACTGCCACCGCGACCACGGTGAGACAGACGGGTAGGTGGTGTTGAAATGAAATGCGACAAAGGGCTTCTTTGAAACCTTGGCGCCAGGAACCCTAAACGATGGCTGTTGCGTGGAGGGAAGCGCCTGGTCGTGGAAATACGCACACTTAATGCCAAGACAGACCGGTTAGATGGATGCTTAAAACAGCCGTCGAAGTAGCCATTTTTGGCCGCCTATTAACCGTCACACCGTTATATAGAGATTAATCTTTATATAAATACTAAGATCTATATAACTATATCTTAATAATATCTTAGATAAAGATTAGATAATAAAATTAGATTAATTATTCTTACTATAAACTATAAAGTTATAGAAGAAAAAGATTCTATAAGTTAGATTTATTTCTTTTATTATTCTTATGAAGATTTTAGTTATATTAAATTCTATTATTTAGAGTTTAGTTTAGATTATTAATATATTAATAAGATATTAAAAAGAATCTACTATATCTTTAGAAAAAAAATCTTTTATACTATTCTTTTAAGCTAATAATCTTTATCTTTAATACACTAATAAACTATAATTAGATTCTATATAGATTTAATTATCCTTCTAAGAATCTTTTATAGAATAATTAATAAAGTCTTTGATACCAATAATTTCTTACTTTAATTATAGATAAAATTAAAAAACGATTATTAATAATCTAATTTTATTATGATTTTATTCTAAATTTTTAGAATGATAAGACAAAATTCAAGATATTTTTAAAATTAGAATTATAGATAGATAAAAAATTCTAAGATATTAATCTTTTTTAGATTTTAAAAGAAAATATTATTTATATGTCTATAGTATAATATAAAATATTGAAAGATATTTAATAAGTTTTTAATAATATCTTAAATAGAATCTAACTAAGTCTTTTATAAGATTAATCTTATGTAGGGTCTTTTTTATTAATATAGTTATATTAATAATTATAATAATAGATATATAATTAATATAATATAACTATAATTTAATCCCATTTTATAAGATATTACCATATTTTCTTAAAGAAATATTTAAGTTATAAAGCTAGAATACATATTTTTAGATATTACTAGATAATTATAATTTAAGATTAAATTAATTTTAATTTTGGTTTTAGTATATTAAAATCATAAAGATTTTAAATTAGATTTATAATAATATAATTAAATTAGTTTTTAATTTAACTCATTTTCTTTATTAATAATATAAAATTACTTTAATATATATTGTTATATAAAACTATTTTTTAATTAAGATATTATTAATTAATAGATTTAAATAAGACTTAAAGATAACTTTTACTTAGGGTTATAAACTATCTTTATTTGTGATGGGCTCTATAAAGACTGAAGCAGAACGATATAGGCCGACATGCAGTTTACATTCATGTTTAAGGAAGAGGAAGCTATAGTACATGATGGGGCATATATGTCTTTCCGCGGATCACGTGTGGGGCTGTAAGCGGAGACGTCCGTGGTCAACTGTCGTCGAACGTGACCGTACGTGATCGTGGCTTTGGGCTTCGTCGAGGATTGACAAGCCCTCGTCGGGTTCAACCCGTTATATTATTATTACCTTAAGATTTTAGAAAGCTATCTTTATAGATTTAGAGAATGGATAAAAGAATTAAGCAAAGTTTACTCTAAAAGAAATAAATCTAAAGAGATTAATAAATAATATATCAAGATATCTTATAGTTTTAGATAGCTAAAAGAAGAAATATTAGAATTGTAATAGAATTACTAGATGTAGATAATACTAGAAAGACTAGATAGAATAGATATAAGATATATATAGATTAGGATATAGATTAGAGATATAGATTAGTAATAGGTCTTTAATCTATATAGAGGTTAATACTTCAGGAGTATAAGCCTTAGTATAGACCTCCTAGAGATATATAGGATCTTACCTATTTAGTACCTGATCTAGAGGACTTCTCTATAAGGCTACTACTATTAAGTCTATACTCTCCTTGATGATAATATATCTAAATTATTATTTTTATCTCTTTTTAAAATCAATATATAACTTATTATAATTATACCTATATCTATATTTATCTTATAGAGATATATAATATTATCTTAGGATATAGATAAGATTTCTTAAAAAATATTATCCATTATACTATTAATTGACTTTATATACAATTTATTATTTAATTTTATTTATCTAATCTATTATATCTATATCTATAAGTTTTTATTCTTCTTTAACTATTAATACTAATATATTTATTATATAGCTTATATCTTTGGGATTAGATTATTATATACATCTTCTAGATATTATAATAAGTCTTTAAATATTCTTTAAGGCTATTTGAATTACATATAAATAATTATATTCTTATTTGTTATCTTCTTAATTAAAAGAAGATATATAGAAACTAATCTTAAGGGATATTAATAGCTTCTATATCTACTAATAATTCATTCCTTATTATAATTCAGTAAATCAGTTATGATTTTCATTATTAAATATAAGAAGATTAGAGAGATAGATTTATATATGATTATATATAGCCTTTAATATTAGATAGATAAAGGGTTCTAGCTATAGTTATATATTTCTTAATTTCTAGGATTATATTAGTACCATTATTAATATTAAAAAGATTTTAATAACATATTTTTATCTTTTAGCTATTTCCCTAATTTTTATTTAATCCTTATATCATATTTCTTTTCTTTTCTAATATATTACATTATTCCTATTCTTCTATTTAGTTTATATATCTAATCATTATATTAATATTTATTCAGATATTATAGATATCAAGATATTTTAGTTTATTATAATATCTTCATATATAGAACTTGGAAATTATCTTTTTTGATATGTTTTAAAATCTTTTTATTCTTAAAAATAGAGAAAGCTAGATTCTTTTTAATAGATTTCTTTTCTATAGCTATTAATATTACATTATAGTAATAGAATTCTTTCTATAACTTATATTTATTATAGAAATATAGATTTAATAGATAAATATAAACTTAGATATTTTATTTTATGGATAATAAAGAAAGAGAAGAGTCTAACACTAGTTTTTATAATTATATATATATATATATATAAATCTAGATATTTAGTATTATAGATTATTAATAGAAATGATAAGATCTATTCAGAGAATTATTATTATGGTATATAACTTAAATTATTTAGTATTTATAAGGGTTATATTAAAGGATATAGGGTATCTAGTATAGCTTATTATTATTAATTATATATATAAACTTAAATAGTTATTGATATAGGGGTAGCTATAAGGGTTTATTAGGATATCCTAATAATATCCTAATGAACCCTTATTCTTTATGTATAGTAAAGTTAACTAACGTAAGCCACGGCCGTTCCGATCACCCCATCAAAAATCGCGTCTTTCAGCCAAAACATTTACTTCAAGCCGCTGCCATGCCACCAGTTCGTTCCAAATCTCGGCAAAAATTAACCAACCAAGAGGGCAGGATCTTATTGGCACTGGAAGATTCAAAAAATTGCCGTATCACCTCTCTCCGCGCAGCAGCGAAGCTCTATGAGATACCCTACACTACACTCCATGCGCGCGCGCATGGCCTATCTTCATGGCATGATAAGCGTCCATCTGGCCATAAATTGACTCAACTAGAAGAAGATTCGCTTGCTGAGTGGATAATCTCTATGGATATACGTGGAGCAGCACCTAGGCTATCTACTATAAGAGAAATGGCTAATATCCTTCTTGCTACGCGTGGATCAACCTCTTCTTCTACTGTTGGTGTTAATTGGCCGTCAAGCTTTATTAAGCGTCGAAATAAGCTCTGTACACGTATCTTAAGACGCTATGACTATCAACGTGCTCTAAATGAAGATCCAAAGATCATACAAGAGTGGTTTACCACTGTCCAACGTGTGATTGATGAGAATGGTATCCAACCTGAGGATATTTACAACTTTGATGAGACGGGCTTTGCAATGGGCCTTATTTCAATATAGATAGTTATAACACGACAAGAATACTATGGTCGGCGATCTATTTTACAACCTGGAAACCGTGAATAGGTGACAGCAATTGAAGCTATCTGTGTAGATGGCTATTTATTACCACCATATGTGATTTTTAAGGGAAAGGTTGCTGTTGCTAGTTGGTTCGATAACCTCCCAAAAGACTAGAGATTCAAGGTCTTAGCTAATGGCTAGACTACTGATGAGATTGGTTTACAATGGCTAGAAAAGCTATTCATCCCATCAACAAATTCATATATCCGTGGTCGCTTTCGGCTGTTGATTCTTGATGGCCATAGAAGCCATCTTACACCTCAATTTGACCAAATCTGCGCTGAAAACAATATTATTCCGCTCTATATACCTATATATTCATCATATCTATTACAGCTATTGGATATTGGCTGTTTTGCGGTATTGAAACGTACCTATGGTCGCTTTATAAGTGATCTTGCACGTATAGGCTATAACCATATCGATAAGCTTGATTTCTTAGCTGATTTTTAACGTGCCCGGCTTGAAGCTTTTTAACCAGCTACTATCCAGAATAGCTTTATAGCTACAGGATTAGTACTAATTGATGCTAAAAAAGTTCTTTCTAAATTGAAATTTTCGCTACGAACACCTACACCACCAGGTACTTAACCAGGCAGCCGAAGCAGTCAATTTTCACCTAAGACACCTAGAACTGTGGTTCAGCTTCAAAGGCAAGCTTCAATGCTTAAAGATCTTCTCAAACAGCGATCTAATAGCCCTCCAAGCCTATC